GAAAGAAAGAAAGAAAGAAAGAAAGAAAGAAAGAAAGAAAGAAAGAATCAGATTGGTCTAGGGAGTTAAAGCACCAGGGTAGAAAGCGGAAGCTTATGAATTCAAGTCCTGCTTTATCTATGAAACCCAGATGAAAGATTTTGAGCCAATCATCAAACAACTGGCAGTTCTAGTCCCATCTTTGCCATGAAAGCCAGCTGGGTGACATTGAGCCAATCACCAGGAGACCAGGAGTTCTAGTCCTGCCTTAGCCACTGAAAGCTAGCTGGGTGATTTGGGCCCAATTACCAGGGGACTGGGACATCTAGTCTCACCCTAGGCACAAAAGCCAGCAGGATGACTTTGGGCCAGTCTCAGAGGTGAGCTGCTACAGGTTTGCCCCGGTTCAGGCGAACCCGTAGCTAAACAGTAGCTAATTTTATGGCCAGTTCAGTGAACCGGCAAATCTCACCCCTGGCTGGCCCTGCCCACCCCTCCCCTCTCAGGAATCTCCACACGGCCCATTTTGGATGCCAGGTAAATGCAGGGCCTGCGTGGAGGCTCGGGAAGGCCCCCAAAATGGGCCTCCTGGAGGTTCCGGAAGGCCGGAAACAGGCCTGTTTCTGGCTTCCAAAGGGCCCCCAGAACCCAGGGAGGCCGTTTTCGCCCTCCCGGAGGCTCGAGGAAATCCTCAGGAGGTTAGGTTGGGCGAAAAAACAGGCCTCTTGGAGGTTTAGGAAAGCCGCTGTAAGGTTTTTGATTTGCAGCTCAGAATCTGACAAGTCCCATGAAACTCTGAACATGAGGCATCAGATAAATAAACATGCTTTTGATTTAATCATTTAAACTAGTTTTACGGGCGTACTCATCCCCCACCTCTGAGATTCCCAGCAATATTAGTATATAATTCAAAGGCACGCCGAACATCTGTTATGCAGAAAAACTGCCATCTGTTTTGCAAGAGCCCTTTACACTTTGTAAAATTTTGGGAGAAGATCTTTTTTTTTTTTTTTTTTGAACAAAGCACCCTGGTAGGATGACTATTTTTGCCATCTTGAACTGTGCAACACTTTTTTTCTTCAGGGCTAAATATAAAAGCTATCCTTCCTATCAGCTTTCTTATCCCCAGACTGTCTGAACTAGTCAGACAAGTCCATCCTGTTTTCTTCAACCCTCGCCTGCCGGCAGCTAAAAAAATTTTTTTCTCCAAATGTTATTTATTTTTTAATAGTTACACTAATAATTCCATCTTTCATTCATCCAGTATGTCAACTGGATACATAGATCTTGTGCTATCATAATTAATATTTTTAACCAATGTAACAATAATCACACTTTCTTTATAAATCATAAATCATTTCCTCTTATATTTATTATCTTTATAACCATCTTGATTAATTTCTTTATATATTCATCTATTCAAGTTTAAATTGTTTTATTTTCTAACCATTTATAAAATAAATCCCACATCATATAATATTCAGTTTCTTCTTTTTCTTTAATTTCCAGTGTTAATCTATTCATCTCTACATATTCAGATATTTTCTCAATCACTTTTCCTTCTGCTGGTATTTTATCCTTTTTTTCCAATTCTGCACAAATACAATCCTAGCTGCTGTTAATATATGTTTCTTCTTTGCAATAACATTCAGGTATCATCCCTAATAAAAATATTTCAGGTTTCAAATGTATATGTTTCTTTAGCATTTTTTTCCAACCATGTTTGTATTTTTGTCCAATATGTTTTGGCTTCTGTGTATGTCCACCTGTATGGTAATATGCTTCAGGTTCATGATGA